GCCAGGTGCCAGTGGGGCCAGGGCAGGAGCGAGGGAAGCTCGGAGGAACGATCCTGCAGGCAGGAGCCGCGCCAGGTGTGCCGTGCTGGGACTGGGGAGAGAGCATTCATTGTCTGAGAAGCTGGCAGGGTCCCAGAAGTTCAACTGTCTTTCCTCATTCTGAAATGTCAGACGTTTCCTTAGCTGGGGGATGGATGAGTAGACCCCCTGAGGCTTAAGCACTATTCTGAGGCTGAAGAAGTAGGTCCTCTCTCTCACACGTGACTGAGTGAGATGAGCGTACTTCCCACGTCCACCCCGCAGGAGGGTCCCCTGCAGGCTTGAGGCTGGGGCCACTTTTCTATGGCAGGAGGGTTGGAAGCTCTTCCCTGCCTCTGTCTTCAGGAAATATCAAACCCTCTGTGGTTATGTGTGGTGGTGTTTTTTCTAAATGGTGCCTTCTAGTGATACTTACTGAAATATTTGTAGATGAAAAATGTCTGGGATTTGCTTCAAAATAATACACTGGAGACAGGGAACAGGTAAGGGTATACATAAAACCAGACTGGCCATGAATTGATCCTTGTTAAAGCTGAGTGATGAGTTCATCACAGTTCAGTATAGTCTTTAGTCTGCTTTTGTATATGTTTAAAATGTTCCACCATAAAAAATTAAGGAAGGGGGAAGAGGGAGGGAGGGAGGGGGGAAGAAAAGAGAAGAGAATCAAAAGGGAAGCAACTCTTCAGCCCAGTTTGTCAGCCCCAAGGAATCTGGGCTACTCTCCCTGAAAAAGCCCACACTCTGTCGCTCTACATGGGCCTCTAGACAGGTATAGAGAAGGGGTACAAGCATGAGCAGGGGTCTAGCCCACCTGGATTTCATTTCCAGCTGTAGGGCCTTAGGTAGGACAGTTTAACCTTCCAGAACCTCAGCTTCCTCATATATAAAGCAGAGATGAGAGTTATTTGTTGCGGAGAATTAGGTGAAGCCGTATACCCATAGCATTCAGCGCAGAACCTGGCATGTGGAGATATCCTGTGTGCTCTGTGGCTCAGCTATCCCTAGCTTTAAAGACATTAACCCGGTTACTCTTTCTGAAATGTCCTTCAGAGGAGAGAGACTCCATTCATAGGTGCCAGAGCTGTGATCACATTCCAAGAAAGCTGAAGTTCTTTCAGAGAAAGGCTATGGTGATAAGGTAGATAAACACCTTTTCTTTGACCGAAAGAATCCCAAAGGCTGCAGTGGGCTTTTGCTTATCACTGTCACCTGCCATCTTAAAATGACCTCTTCAGTTGACCCTCAGCGCCTACCCATTTACTTAAACCTGTTGAAAATCTCCTCCCAAAGGACTCCTGTTTGCTCTGAAAGGGCTTAGACTATAAAAACCGTATTTGTCATTGCTCTTAAAGTCCCCCTTTTCATCTCCAGACAAGAACCCAGTTTATCACATCTTATCAACTCACTATCTAAGGTGTCCGTTGCCGAAGTGCATGTTCATTTTCAAGAGGTTGTGTGCCCCCTGCCATACTTTTACTGGGTCACGTTTTGTCTAATTCACAGTTTCTGTGGTAGAAAAATTAGCAGCTTTTAAAGAATCGCTGTGTTAATAATGGTTCCAGTGACAAAGACACCATTCTGCTTAAACTGTGCTGTCTGCTGAACCTGTTCCCTGTCTCCAGTGTATTCTCTGTGACCTGAGAGCTTTTCTCTGTCTCGTTGGTGTCTCCGCATTATTTGTTGGTCAATATTGACCTTTTGGAATTTTCCTGTTAAGTGACCTCCTTGACACCTTTTTCTGAGCTTCTTCCTCCTACTGACTACTTCTCCTGTGCCTTTCTTATTGTCTCTTCCAAAAATTTAATATATGTGTTCATTTATTATATAACTTCTTTTGTGTGCTAGACTCTTCTCTAGGTTCTGGGGGTATGACAGTGAACAAGAAGGCATCATCCCTGCTGCTGACACTCCTGTGCCAGGGAGTAACAGATAGTAACTAAGTACCCAAGTCACGATTGAATAAGGGTTCCCATGGAGACTTAGAGGGTCAAAGAGAGCACAGTTAACTAGAAGGCAAGAAGAGTTCCTTGAGGAAGTGCCACACTGATTTTGGGGGGATTAACCAGGCCAAGAGCCGGGAGCTCTCGGACAGAAAGGGCAGAGTGTGTATAAGCCAGAAGCAGTGAGGAGCACATCGGAGGTGTCAAAGACAGCTCGATTGACTGGAGCACAGGACATGATGTGTGGCTGGGGGGCACAGGGCCTCCAAGGCCATCATAAAATTTGAATCTCAGCTTTAGCTCTTGGAGGGCTTTAAGTGAGGGGTGACCTGATCTCAACAGCTTGCTCCAGTTCCACTGGAATGCATGGACAGAGGAACACGCGAGGCTGGCCAGTCAGTTACCGCAGGGTTCCATGTCAGGGATGACAGTGATTGTCCATGCCCTGAAGCCTCTTTCCTTGGATTTCAGGCTTGGCGTGTATAAACTAAAACCAGATGTGTGTGTTTCCTTCTTCCCAATCGGTGTTGCTCTTCATTCCTTTGTTCTCGTCACTTGTTCTGCTATTCCCATAATCACCCTGACTTGACAATTCAAGGTCACCTGTATTGCCTCTGCTCTGGGTCATCAGAGTGTTGACCTAGAACCCTTGCTGTGCAGGACTTCCAGGCTCAAGTGTCCTCCCAATTATAATCCTGCCGGGCCTCAGGAACAATGCCTCTTCCGAAAACACCTCTCATCCTCTCCCCGACTTCCTTAAAAACTCAGTCCCTGCCCCTTGTCTTAGGGTGAGCCCAGGCCCTGGAGTGCTGGTGATGTCTCCCACATCCCACCCCAACCTGTCTACCTCCTCCATTCCTATAATCTGATACTACACGGCATAAACCTTTCACCCCGCCAGGAACAAGTTTTCATCCAAACACCACACGTGTATCAGACCAAGTAGTAGTAGGGCTCCTGCCCAGGTGAAGCTTTTGCTCAACTGGAGATGTTTCTGGAGGCAGAAATGAATGAAAATATTTGTTCTGATTCTGGCAAGAAGATGGACTAAGATAATATTGCATGCACACCTCTTCTCACTACAAGCATCTTGTGATGCGGGATAAAATAGTATAATCCCCTCTCCCAAATGTTAATGTGTAGCTGCATTTACAAGGAGAAGAGAAATCCCTAGATGAAAGAAATGGAGAGAGAGCTGAAATCCAGAACCTTCGTGAATGAGCTGATGCTGCAGCTGGGTCGTTATCAGTCACTGTGATGCAGAGCAGGAGCCCGCAGACCTGGGTCCAGGGCCAGGTACTAAATGATATTGGCTGTGCAGACCACAGACAGCGCATCACATCTTTTACCTTTTTGACAACGCTCTAAAAATATAAAAACCATTGTTAGCTAATGGGTTGTACAAAAGCAGACCACAGCCAGATTTGGCCCATGAACTGAAGTTGGCAGACCCTTGAGTTAGAGGCTTAGGTTTATTTCCTCATGAAGATGGGGGGAAATACCTTAAGTCCCTGAGAAGAATGACTCTCCAAAGATTGCATCATCAGGGAAAGAGGCTGTATGAGGAAAACTTCACCTACCATCACAGAGAGATGACAAAGAAGCTGCCATTTATTTTTAAGTCCTTTCTCAATACTCAAAACCATGGTGTGCTATGCTTACGTGGGTCGGGTTTAAAATTTATACCATTTGATCTATTCAAGCTCTGAGGATCTGTGGGTGGAATTAAAGAAATCTGTGAACTCGAATGAAAAAGCAAATTGCATTCTTATTTTCACTGACTTCTGAGACATAGCATTTTCTTTGCTTATGAATGTAGGCAACAAACCACGGTAGTATTAGTAGTACTTATAACTCTGTCGCTGATTTACATCAAGATATAGTGCATGCATTATCTCAGAATTAAAAAGATATCTATTTTAACATATAGGGGTGTGGGGGGGGCATGCCTCTCCTGCCTGTATGGAAAGCAGGAAGAGCTAGCTGGCCTTGCTTTGCCTTTCATGGCAAAGGAGAAAGAATTAGGATTGATGATAGGGTGGTTTCCAAAGCATGGTGAGCAGTCCTGGTGGCCACACAACCATGTGACCCTATATGCGTGACTCGCCCTTCTCTTTATAAGGCATTTTCGCATACTTGTTCTCCTCTGTTCCCCACTTTCCCCTTGGAGTCTCAGAAGCTGAAGGACTCTTTTATGAGCAAACCTTTCTTGAGTGCTTGCTTTGCGGTAGCTGCCTCTGGTACCTGGTGCATGGTAAGCGCTCATTATTAAACACCAGAGAAGCCAATGTGGGAGACGTGAGCCCACTGAGCAAAGGCTGCGTTCTCTTGGGCCCCCTTCATGTGCATCGGGTAAAGGAATGGGCAGTGCTGAGTCCAGATGCACAACCCTGAGGAGGTAGGGCGAGGCTGGCCTGCTCCCCTTCGTGTTCCCCAGCCAAAAATGCTGGGAAATAAAACTAGAAAATGAGAATAAAAAGAGTATACAGGTATACACAAAAAAGTTCTTTCATCCGGAAATATTTTTAGCAGTGGGTCACATAAGCGTCTTGGACTCAAGAAGGCAAGGTGAAGCCATGTGGATAGTGGAGAAAATGGATTCCAGAATTAAAACTCTTCAGCCTTTTGCTTTATTGATGCTTCATCGGTACATAATTGGGTTGGGTAGCAGCAGCTTTCACCCTCCCCTGTGGCCCAGGCTGCAGGCAGATACTAGCCCAGCGAGGGCCAGGCCCATACATTGTCCACAGTCTTGCACTTTGGAGCACTGACACAGTTCAAGAGGCAGGGAGGGCTGTTCCCAACCTCCCTGTAGCCCCTGCCTTCTGCACCCACCTACCTGCAAAGCCAGAGTTTTGTTTCAGCTGCGCCTTGGGCTGCTGACCTCCCCTCCCTGAAGCATGAACTGAAGGCTCAGAGGGAGCAGCATGCCACTGACTGCTCTGAAGACACTTAATAAAACATGTGATGCTTTTCTGGTAGGAACTGTTAAAATAGGTATTTTCTGCTTTTCTTTTTCAGGGATGATCATGGTGATTTTATTGCTGCTTGTGGCTATTGTGGTCGTTGCAGTCTGGCCAACCAACTGATGGCCATAAAGGGACCGCCAGCCGTGACACCCACCAATAATGGATATAAGTCCAGTACACTTTTGGTACAAAACCCATGCTCTCAATAAATTCCCCCAAAGCTCTGAACTCCCGAGGTATGTTGCTTCACTGAAGGTGCATAGCTCTGTGGCTCTGGAGAGCTCCCTTGAGCATCAGGCCCAGTATGGTCCTTTTGCTTTCAACCTTGGTTGTTTTGGTGCTAGTCAGAGGTCCTCAAGTGGTCACCGCCCCATGGTTGCCAGTCGATCCCAGTCACCTCTGTAGTATTCTGAGCATCCTGGGGAATATTGAATTAATAGTTTGAAACCTCATTGTCTGCTTGGGGAAGCCATGTGTCCATATAGGAAACAAGTGTACTGTCAAGGCCACCTGTGTCCAGATGGGAAGGAGGGCTGTATGGAGGGGTGGCCATGCAGAAACGTGTCTTGAGTGTGTAACCACTACCCGCCACCCTACCCGCCCAAGTCACCCCACCAGGCTCAGCACTCCTTCTGGTTGCGCTAGCTGCCACTGCCCAGAAGTATTTCTGAGTTCTACCTTAGGAACTGCCATCAGACCTGGAAGCGCATCTTTTTCATTTCCTTGGTGATAGCAAACTCTCATTTATCAAGGCTGAGAGAGACATCTTTCTTTTTATTTATTTATTTATTTTTATGTTTTTTTGAGTTGGAGTCTCACTATGTTGCCCAGACTAAAGTGCAGTGCACGCTCCTGGCCACCGCAGCCTCGACCTGCTGGGCTCCAGCGATCCTTCCACCTCAGCCTTCCAAGTAGCTGGAACTGTAGGCGCGCACTACCATGCCCGGCTAATTTTTTTATTTATTGTGGAGATGAGGTCTCACCAAGTTGCCCAGGCGGGTCACGAACCTGCAGGCTCAGGCAGTCCACTCACCTCGGCCTCCCAAAGCGCTGGGATTACAGGCTGAGCCACTGAGCCCAGCCGAGAGAGACATCTTTCTAAGCAGCAAGAATCAAGTCTGTTGAATAAGGTAGGTGAGGTGGAAAGTGATTGGGCTGGAAAGTCCTGTATCAGGTTCAAAGAAAGCTGTGATCATGAAGTTAGGAGAACATGCCTTTATTTGGTGCTTTCCCTGGTTCCGACAGCCGTGTGTGTGTGTGTGTGCACGCGCACATGCGTGCGCGCAGTACGTATCTTAGGGAAGACAGATGGGGTGGGCAGAGGACACTAGGGGGTGGATGCCTTCTGAGTTAGAAGGGGGCAGAGGTCAAGCATCATGTGCTCTCTCCTACCTGTATAGAAAGCAGGATGGGCCAGCAGCCTTTCTTTGCTCTCCATGGCGAAAGGAAAAAGAATTAGGGTTGATGATAGGGTGGTTTCCAAAGTATGAGATCAAAGCATGAGATCTCCCTGAGAAAAAAGACAGAAGAGGCCTGTGGTAGGGAACTTAGGCCAAGTCTCTTGTGGATTTCCTCAAGAGGGCATGACTCAAAACCCCCTTTGAACAGAGACAGGCACCAGCCATGGAGCAGCCTGGCATTATTTCCTGGACTGAAGACTCTAGGCGTGCTGGGAAGACCTGGGATCCCAGAGTACAGATACTTGCCTGGCTGTAACCAGTCCTCCTCACTCCAGAGCCTAGGCCAAGGGGACACCCATCGTGGTCTCTGGCAGAAAACAGGGGGCTCTGGAAGCTCTCACGCCTGCAAGGCAATGTTCAGCCCAGAAACAGACCCATCACCTCTCAATTCACTGAACGAACCTAGTCACCTGCCTGCTCAACCATAAGGGGACCAGCAAGTGCCCAGAAGGGACAGAGCCTGAAACTTGTGGTGAATGGCCCTCTTGACAGCTGCACCAGTGACTATGGGCAAGTTACCTTCCTGTGCCTCTGCTTCCTCAGCTAGAGAATGGAAGTAAGATTTCCTTCCTACCACATAGGGGAGGTTTGGGTGAGTTGGCACATGTAAACACAGAGCCCCCTGCTTGGCTCAGCTGAAAGAAGGATTCCTCCCCTACCCCCAGTCTAAACCCAGTGGGGCCAGATGCTCTCCAAATCCAGATCTCAGAGATTCTGTCACGTGCTTCTGCCTAATAAATAGAACACACCATTGTGAGGACACGAGAGTGAACTGGTGCCCAGGAAAACGCTCTCCTTTCTGTTTGAACCCTGTTCCCTGCTGGCCTCCAGGGGCTGCTGACACATGCAGACCATTGCCTGCCTTGGGATGTTGAGGCCCTTGGAGCAAATTTAGCAGATGGCCAAAGCCAAGTAGAAACAAGAGGGTAAGGAGCAGGGGCTGCTGTGAGGACAAGCGTGTCAGGGAACAGGATTGTGAAGGGAGAGAGAGGAAAGGGAAGCAGGTTGTTGCAGGTGCACATGATCCTGTAGGATAAGGGCCACACTGGATAGGGCCAAGGGCTTGGGATGCATTTCCTCATCGGGGTGGGCAGTTGCTAATGGATCACCCAGTGGACGACCAGGAATCTGCAAGCCACATCTTCCAGTCTTCTGTGAAACCCCAAATCTGTGCAAACAGTGTCTCCTTGGAGTCCCCCCACTTTGGGACTCAGGGGAGTTGGCACTGATGGTCTGTGTGACTTTCTCACCTCCTCTTGACTTGCTCAGCATGGAGCCCCGGCAACTTATGGGGCATCTTTGAACCCAAGCCACGGAGTTCTGGCTCAGTCACACTAAAAGGCCTTTCACGCTTTCACAGAGAGTAGGGACATGCCAAGAAGCAGCAAGACCCCAGCTCCCTTAGTGCTCCTCACCTTAGGAAATGGCAAGCCATACCCAAGTGGCTGGGAGGTGCCCCTTTTGGGATCTGCTGCCTCAAGAGCCACCCTAGAGTCGTGTGGCTAATGTAAAGCTGGCATTCTCCCACATGGCTTGCAAGACCTGCTTTTCCCCCTCCAAGCCACCCACAGTGAGTGCTCTGGAGCTGGTGGGGTGAGCCTTAAGACCTCACTCCAAGCGTAAAGAGAGAGGCAAGTCACGGCCTCAGCACCCATCAGCCCAAGTGCTTTTTCAGTGAAAATAAACTTGATTAAAATAACAGTATAAGTATTGTTTAACTTAACTGATTATTAATTGTAAGCATTTTAACTCTGGATACCATATAAAGAAATCCAGATATCTGGGTACCATGGGTACTGTGTTCCATTTGGACTTCATTATTATTGACTGGAACTAAACCTTAGCTGTCATTAGCTCCAGGCTCCTTTCAAAGACCTGCAGGGCTCTGGCCCCGGACACAACTTCTACCAGTCATCTTTGGTGTTGATACCAAAAATCCATGTGCTGCTTCTCCCATTGCCCGCAGCCTTCCTGCCTGGCAGGAAGTGCGGTTTTTCCCTGAGCCCAGATCCCTTGGAACTTTCCTTCTACAAAGCTGCACAGAATTCCCAACTGCCCATCTGCTTCCAGAACTGTCGGGCTTACTCCTGACTAGTCAGAGAAAACTGCCAGCCAGCAGTGTAGCAGCATTTTTCCTCCTGGTGGGGAGAGAGTGCCTTAGCCTCCTTAGAATCGCATTCCCAGCTTCTTCAGATCCGAGCGACACTGACAACTGTAGCACAGACTAAAGATGATCTCTTATCTAGCTGGATTCTCTAACCCAGCCCTGCTAAAGTTAAGTGGATATCCCCCCTTGTTTTAAAAAGGGGGCTAAGACTCGCCTTCGCTCTGATTGCTTCGTATAGTTTCACAGTCTTCCTCCCAGCTACATGCCAGTAACAAAAGGCATTGACCTCTTTCCAGCAGTGACTTGCTGTCCCGCTGAGTCTCCAGCTTGATCAAGCAGCGAGTGTGACCCATCCATACACTCCATTTCTCACTGGCTCTCTCCATCCTTTCACTCCCTGTTTTTCTTGGCCTATTTTTTATATGTCTTTATTTAGTCTTTTTAAAAGCATAGAAAGAGATGTCTGCTTAACAGAATCTGAAACCTGAAGTGTCTGCCACAAGTGGGCATCCATGTCGAGCACTGTCTCTGGGAGGTGGGTTGAGGGGGAGAGACAGGGCAGGGAGGACCTGAGAAATACGTGGGCCTCCCTGACAGCAGGCTGTGATGGTGGGCAGACCCTGTGAGGCTCTGATGCTGGGTTTTTTGCTAGACTTTGCTAGCGCTTGGGTCTCTGATGAGGCTCACTCAGCTTCCTTGTGCCTCAGCAGTCCAGTTTTTAAAATGGGCTTTTCCCACCACCTTGGACCAGTACTTAGCAGTGACCTAGTTTATTTCCTGCATTGAATCTGGCAGATGTCGATGCCTTCTTCCCAACTGGAACATAAGGGCCCAGGAGGCATTGGGGCTGTTTATAGTCCATGTTCTAATATGTGTCTGATCAACAGTATGCCTCCTTCAGGCGTCAGGCAGAGCTGTAAGCCACCAGCCCAGGGCCTGACTGTGGTGGAGTCCCAAAGGAAACTTCGCACTCATAGGCAGGCACAGACATTTTTTTTTTTTTTTAAGACAGAAATAAAGCCATCTCATGCAAGTCCTTGACAGCGAGACCCTTGACCTCAAATGACCAAAGGTGAGACTCATCACAGAACTCTGAGCCCCAGGCTCTTAGTCCTGCTGGGTCTCAGTGGGTCTTAAGTCCTGCATATAGTCCGACCGCCCTGGGGAGTGCCTGAGACTACAGAAAAGGCTTGCTTTCTCTTCGGCCTGTCCAGCCAACTGAGACTTGTATCCTCTCCGAATTCATCCACTGTCAGGCACTATCATTCCAGCAGGGACTCAAATGTGAGATGTAATGGGACACCAGAGACCACTCATGTATCTACCTGCCCTGGCTTTGACCCCTGACTCCCGAACTTCGGAGCCAGACCTGACAGGTGGTGCCGGACCAGTTTCTTCCCGAGCAGAAGCTAAAGGCATCTCCAGCGAGCAATCCAGGCAGCCAGGAAAGGGCTTCCTATGCCTTCGAAAGAAGGGCCAGTTCAGTCTGCGTTGCTGAGGGGCTAGACCAGGCCTGTTGCTGAGACTTGTCTTAAAAACAGCTGGGTGCAGAAATTATAGCTTCCTGGTGACGATCGGCCCCACTTTGCATGGCAACACAACATGTTCCTAATGACTGAATTGTTTATTTAATAAAGAAATCACAACCATTTGGACGTTTAAATATAGCCTCTCAGAAACCCAGTGAGCTCAGCTCCCGGTGGCTGTGTGGTGCTGGCACTGGCCCAGTCTCTGCACTGCACGAAGCCTTTAGCAATGGTTTGAAAAAAAACTCTTTTGCAAGATCTCCTGAGTTTCGCTAACCCTGTTGGATTTTCTTGTGAGTCTTTACTTGGCTTTGAATAGAAAAAACTGGTTATGTAAAAGCAGAAACGGTGTGCAGGTTCCTTCCTAATGAAATGAAAGGTCAGAGGTTGCTCTCTGCCCTGCTACTGCAGGTAGGGCCATTGGGAGGGAACTCCCTTTTCCTTGTCCCCTAGTTTCATCTTTTTCTTAGATTCCAGGGTGGTTTCTTAGGGACTGAAATACAGATTGTCCTAATCATGAGAGAGCCTTTTAGCTCAAAGTAGCATTCAGAGCCAGCAAGCTTCTAGGACCTTCCAAGCAGAGCTGCCCTCTTGCTGCCTTTGAGGGTACTAGGCTCTGTCTTGTCGGAAGTTCTTTGGCTAGAGGCCATATTCCTTAAGTTACCCAAAGACTCCTGCCTCCCCACATGCCCACCACCCATAGCCCAGGCCACCAATCAAGACTGGGAGACTGAGCACAGTGTATAAGAGTTTATTTAATGATATCTGAATTTAGTTCTATCATGTGGGGCCCACGTTACAAGTTCCATCTGGGTCCATTACAACTCTATCCAAAAAAAAAAGGAAAGAAACTTTAAAAAAGAAAATCCACAACTTTTTTCATGTCATTAAATATATTCATATATAATAACCATAATATATTAGTATGCATTGGAAAGGGCACTGACCCAAACAATACGTCATGGTCACAACTAAACATTTACAATTCGGAGTGAACAGAAATCCCAAACAGGGAGCTGAGGGAGGGTGGGAAGTGCATTAGGGAGCAGGGAAGGGAAGGGATGGCCAGTGACACTGGGACTGGCTTGGCTTCTGACAGGGGGTGAGGCCCACAAGCAAACATTTCAGTACCCCTGGGTGTGCCATGGGGTCTGTCCCCATGCAGAGCCACAGGAAGATCTGTTCATGAACCGTGGCCCAGGGGCCCCATCACTCTCTGGGCTTCAGGGGCTTCCTTTAAGTGCTGAGAACCTAAACATTCTTCACTCTCCTAAAGGAACCACTTCCCAATCCCTTTGGGTCTCTTCTTGACTTCACCCTCATTCCAGCCTGCCTCATTCTAGCCCGGGCAACTCCAATAAAGTCTGCACCCATTTCCTGCATGCTACTCCTGAGGCAGAGTTCCAGGAGGTCACTACGGGCTTTGGGGCAGTGCCTGTTCTCCCTGGGCTTTGACCCCAGGCATCCCTCCCTCCCACATGGAGGGTCTTGAAGATGCTGCCTCCTGCCCTGCTTTCTAAGGGCAGAAGTTGTGGACAGAGACCATGGCCTGCAGGTGAGTCCAGGGGACAGCCCTATGTCCTGCCCTTTCCCTCCACCCCAAAATCTTCAGCGTTACTGCGTGTCAGTAAAGCAGGCACGCAGCTGTCAGGGGCACCAGACCACCCAGCTGGTAAGAGAAAGGACAACTGGGGAACCTGTTTAAAAAACAAGACTAATCTGGTATGTTTCTCTTCAGACACCTACATATCACAATTCTGGTTAATACACTCTTCAAAATCAAAATCTAGCTCCGTTTTACATCCCTTCCTAACTGTACAAACTGGAACACCTCAATTCCTGGCTCCATCTCCTGCCTGGAGTGGGGGACAGGTGGAAGAGGGGTGCTTTCCTAAGGATGGGAGTTCACCGCCGAGGCCGGTAGCTGCAAGCAGAGGAGTGGTGGGCTGGGTTCTGGCCAGGGTCCTTGAATGAGGAAGGCAACCTGTAATGTAGTGACCTCATCCCAACCTGGCTGATGTGGCCACCCCGACTGGAGACTGGTTGAGTTTTCAGCAAGATGCCTTGTTGCTTGGCAGGCACTGGCTCCGTTGCTGGGGATGCCTCGGAGACCACCAGTGCGAGCCCCTCTCCTAGCATGAGGTGAGACTCAGCCCAAGGCTTCTGGACAGGGTGGAAAAGTCATGCTGGCATAGACAAAAACAGGACAACTGCCCACAGCGTGATGCCTTTGGATGCTAATGGTACCCAGCAGACCACACCAGGACCAAGTCTGACAGCTTGGAGAAAGATCCCTCCAGCCTTCGGTGTGCAATTAGGGAAGCCAAAAACCCCTTTCCAGGGCAGTTCTGTCTTCTCCCTACCCCTGAGGCATCTCTGCCTGTCTCTCCTGAAATTCCTGCTTCACCCCGACTCTTGCTCCCACCTCTGGGGATGTTAGGAGCCGGGCCTCTACCCCAACCCAGACTCCTGTTTTCCAGGCCAGATGCCAAGGTTCTCAAGAAGCAGTAACTAGGGCTGAGGTCTCAGGGCAACTTCCCCAGGAGCTCCCCCTCCCGGCCTGCTCCTTGAATTGCATGAGTGGGCCCCAGCGCTAGAGGGCCGTGAAGGCCAGCGTGGCCCGTGGTCAGAAAGGCTGGCTCCAGGATCGGAGCCCCAGTCCCGCCACCTATCTGCAGCGTGACCTTGGGTGCGTGTACTCTGGTTTCCCGGGCAGTGAAAAAGAGGGTGAGAGTCCCTGTCCCAAGGGGTTGTCACGAGGACAAGCTGGGAGCGTGTGGGTAAAGTGCCTGGCACAGAGCAGGTGCTCAATAAATGGCAGCCACAGCGTGGGCAGAGTGGGGAGGCGGAGGGAAGCCAGACCACCGAGGAGCCGAGCTGCATACTCAGTGTGACCCTTTGAGCAGCCAAACTCCGGCAGGGAAAATGAAACCAATTTCCTGACTGAGAGGGGAGCCAGGCCTCTAATTCAGTGTGCCGGGTGTGAGGATGCGGGCCAGAGGCCCTGGGCAGTGCAGAGCGCTCAGAAAGGCAGGGAGCCAAGAGGCTCCAGGGCACAGGATTGGGTCCTGTGTGAGGCAGTCAGACCAAAAGAGGCTGCCTGCTTGAGGACAGTGTCTTGAGGACGCTTTGGAAGGAGGTCTGGACACACCGGAGTGCACAGGCAGACTCCACAGAGAGGCTAGCCACAAAGGAGTGGGCAAGGTGCTGTCCAGGCCAGATCAAGGCAGCTGTAAGGGGCAGCCCCAGCAGCCCCTGTCCCTTCCCTTGGGGGACCAAGAGTGGGGCCAACAACAGGAAACGGTCTTTGCTTCCTCGGCCAAGCAGGAGGCTGTCCCTCCTGCCCCTGCCTGCCCATGGCTCAGGCATTCTGGTACTTTGCTGAGCCAGCAAACCCCGTCCCCACTCAAGCAAGCCCTTTCCCCACGTCTGGTCCAGCCAGCTTCATGGACTGCCGGTTCCATGCCCATCCAGGCCTTTCCAGCTGTTGACATTGCTGAGGGGCCTTATGGGAGCTGATGTCATTACACAAATAGTGTCACTGCCGTAAACTCAGCCAGTGCCCCTTCCCCCTCCCCTGGAAAATGTCATAAAAGGGGCTGGTTCCAAGTTTCCAAAAAGGAAACTCTCTGGGAGGTTTTGCCTTTGCGATGCCTCCTCCAACAAGCAGCTCCAGCAAGAGGCAGCGGCCACCCGCCTTGGGCTTCTCCAGGGGTGTCCTTGGGATGGGCCAGGATGCTGGGCCAGCCCCAAGTTAGGCAGGGGTAGACACCAGCAGGGGCCTTCCTCTCCTCTCTCCACAAATGGTGAACTCCCCACCCACCCCAAAACCCCGCCCAGGAGGACCAACTCAGCAGGTGGCAGTGACCATGAGAGGCCGCAAAGAGAATGGTGGCTGGACAGGCTCCTTCCCCCTCCCCCAGTGCCTGCCAGGCCCTTTGGATGGGGCCCAGATGGTCCCAGCCGGGCATCCCGCGGGAGTTCCTGGACAGAGGGATGAGGAGAAGGGAGGGGGTTTTGTCTTTTGTGTTTGTGTTGGTGGTTTGGTCGGGCTTGCTCCAGCGCCCCCCAGGCCGCAGGCCTGAGAATTCACAGTTCTCCTCCCATCCCCTTCTCCAGAACCATCCACGAGCCGGGCCGGGGCCCCATCTGTGCGGTTCTGTGCCTGTCCCCGGGCCCCAGGGCAGGCCGCCCCAGCCCCTCCACGGCGACCCCA